AATGATGCTGTGCGATCATCAAAGAGCAACGACACATTCAATAGCGGCAGTGAAGCCTTGACCAAAAATACCAAGTGCAACGATCAAATGCGGAGGAATAACGATCCTACATAAACGGAAAAATTGAGCCCCGAAACCTCAGACAATCACGAGTTTCCTCAGTTCATGGCTCAGGCGTCCAAGGCTTAGCAGTGGTATTGCTTTCTCTCGAACTGACATCCATGTCGAAGTCGGGTTCTTGAGACGCGCGATCAACTCTGTATATATTATCCGCGAGTTGAAGATAACACTCGTAACTGAGGATAATTCAATACCGACCGTCGAGGACAAGCATATCTCTCATTACTCGACACGGAGTGGCGTTGTGTCATAGTGATAATGACCAGCCACCTTATCATTGAATCCATGAGTATGTGAAGGACGGAGGTCGAGAGTCGCAGGAGGATTCGTCACGACTGGAAAAAATAACTGTGCCGGGGATAGAACTCGGGTGGATGGCTTACAAACTGTGTAATTCGTGAACGGCGTATCAGCTTCTTTCATCCTCAGCCATTCAGAGTCAATAAATTTCTGACTCCTGATTGGCTTCACTGTGAAGTCATGCATCACATGAATCATCACTTTCCCTGATGAGAGAAACAATCTTGCAATCTTGCATTTCCTCAACGCCCCATTTACCTTTCTTGACGAGCACCACACCCCCCAAGCCCAGAACATCACGAGGAAAGGCAGTCTCCAAGATTGACTTCATCGTTTCCACAATATCAGAACCAACCTCTGGATCCATCCGGGCAGCCGCGTGAACTCTCAACACCTTCCCAGGGGCACCCGAACACTTGAAGACGTTACAAAGAGGCTGAACGAGAGACAGATACCATCAAAAGTTACGAATTGAAAGCTGTCAACTGCTCACGAAAAACTGAAATTCACGGTGATTCGTCAGTCTGAGATTCAGAGAAGGCAGCCGCCGCTAAAAATCGGAATTAGAATTCGGAAAATCAAGCACAATGGAATTTCACCCGTTTTACGCAAAGTGGCGTAAAACTCAGTGAAAAACGCGATATTCGCGCCATACAGTAGTCGTAAAATATGTTTTCCCTAGTGTTTTTCATATCACTAGGGTGAAACTGCAATGAACTGAAGACCACAACCTATTTGAGACCCTATATTCAAGGGGCGGAGGGGTAATCAGAAGATTACTGTAGCGTCGGCCGGCTCAAACCCCGGACTAACTGGTGGCAGCTCAACCACTCCGCTCCTTGAAAATGGGCTCTCAAATAGGTTGTGTGCACTCATTCTTAGCACGACTCAATATTGATGAACCGTTTTAGGAGGCCACTAGATCTATAACGACTATTCGAAACCGATCAAGTGGAAGAGTTCGACAATCCCCAAAACGGTCATTCAGTCGAAGTTCCCGTTGCTCACCCCTGAGAGGTAAGAATGGTAGTTCTTCTTCTCTGGCAATGAGTCCTCGCAAACAATGCCGCATGCTGTATGAGGATCCCCCTCATCTGCACAATTTATCGCCAGCTCTCCATTCTGATAGAAAAACCGTAAAATGATGGATAGTAAACTCACGCATCAAAACGCAAATGCGAATTCCGAGCCATACAAATAGGAATCTCAACAGCACCTTCGCCCGAGGAATATAATATTAATATCGATATTATTAACTATGTTATATATAATACATCACTATTCGGTATAATGTGTGTTATTAACATGTACAATATAAAATATAATAAGATACATAAGATCTAATAAGTACTGTTGGACGCACAGCCAAAGCTGGTATTGAGATCAATAATAATAAATACTATCAATCTCAGAATCACAGTGCGGCCAAGGCAAACAATGTGATTATAACATCCATTTATGTATATTTTTATGGTAATATTTATTATACGCCCTTCTGTGGGCGTTTAATGAATATTACTATTATAAATATTATAATACAAGATAATTAACCCCACATTACCTGTCCCGTGACAGAGTAAGCGCAAGCCCCAGCTCCCAGAATGTGGAAGGCCTGTGGGGTGTGGTGACTAGGTAGGCTGTTCGATCGCTCTGTGGGACTACCAGCTACCGTAGACTCAGCACTCGAGGGAGGATACGCTGAAGAAATGAGTTGCACAGTAGAAGAGCGTTCATAGCAGTGTGGGAGGAATATATGTTTGCTTTCCTCAGCTGAGGTCCTCACTGATAATGAAAGTTCACACACGGGAATTCAGAAAGGATTTCGCAGAAACCAATAAGAATTTCCTCGCAATCTTCACCAACACGAAGTTCATCATGTGAATATTTTCCCCACGCAGATCTATGAAAACGATTGCTACTGATGCATGCAGTCTTATTGCTTGCTACGAAGCCTATCTATATTACATATCTCTGAAATACTAATATTATGATTATTAATCAAAAACGACTTCGATGAAATCTATCCATCTTCATTAACAAAATGATAAATATAATAACAGTAATTGCATAATAATATGCATTAGATCAACAACCGAACGAAGCTAGGTTCCATGGTGAAGTAGTTCAACTCTAACAGTGTTGGGAGAAGGCTAAGTTCCATGGTGAAGTAGTTCAACTCTAACAGTGTTGGAAGAAGGCTAGGTTCCATGGTGAAGTAGTTCAACTCTAACAGTGTTGGGGAAATATATGTTCGCTTTCCTCAACTGAGCTCAGGAGTTTCCTCGCTAATTCGAGGACTTCACATTCGAGTTCGAGTAAAAAAGTACAGAGAATTTTCCAGAATTTCCTCAAAATCTCCATATTGTCGTCAACACATGTGGTTGACCATATGCATATCTTCTCACACACAGTGATTGGATAGTTCAACGCCTACCTTCCTCATCGCCGCCGCCGACATGTGTGTAATTGTCAACAATAGAGGCGATTTGGCGCATATCATATTCCTTAGTGATATCAACCTTAGGGTAAAGAAGTGCACATCCACCACAGTCCACAACAGAGCCTTTCCCTGGGCCTGATCAAGTGGAAAAGTAGCGGAAAGATGGTATTTCAATTACGATATATTATTAATAATTATTATTATATTTTCTCACAGGGAATAAGTCTGTTGTGTATATAAATATATGCACCACAATCCGATACCCAATATCAACGGAGTTTCACCCGTAATATGAAAAACACTAGTGGGAAAATTTTTTTCACAGAATATTACGCCACTTCACGTAAAATGGGTAAAGCTCTAGTTATTCAGAATCTACGATGGTATGACAACAACCTACTTCCAAGACCAGGCTTCGAGCAGAGGTAGGGGGCCTGGCGTAGATCAGGACAGTCCACGACGTCGACGTCGATCTGAAGGGAAAGATGAGAAATAAATCGAAATTCGACTAGATTAAAATATACAATATGTTCAAATATGTCGTAATACCCTCTGTTATATATTAACATAACCATATATATCTATTCATAATATTATTAACAATTATATATTTGATATTTTATACCCCTATAAATTGTAGATATTAGTAATCGTATTATTTATGTTATTGTTATCTATAATAATTATATATATAAATGTGGTAAGCTGTATAAACTGATAATTTCCGAAGTAATCTTCCTAAAACCACTTTATGGAGCTAAATTCATATACTTTCAAGAGAGAAAAATTTGGGCGAAAGAAGAGGGAAAATTGTGCAAGGGGAAGCAAACCATATATGTTCACTTTCCTCAGCCGAGTCCTCAGGAGTTCTCTCGCTTAGTAAGAAAGTTAACACCCAAACTCGAGTTTACTTCGAATTTCCACTAATTCTCATTAACACACATATAGTTGACCACACGCATGTATTCCCACACTGATTATGAGTATCACTTTTTTGAAAACCTTAGCAAGACCGTCCCGCAGGGCATCAGCAACTTCATCGATCGTTACAGGGCTCTCCAACGGGTACACCTATGATGAGAATTTAACGTTATGGTTACCAACACGGAATTACTTCCACTGAGAGGTCCTTAGGCTGCTCCTTCTCGACCAAACCTATTGTTGATGCTAAAGACTCTTCTGTTGTACTCATTATCACTAGGTGAAGTTGTAAAGGGAATACTACAGGGGGAGGGGGGGGGGAGTTGAACTCCTGCGAGGAAGTAGATTTACACGTGTGCGAGCCATAACATGCTCATCAGCAGCGAACCACAGACTTTTCAACCACGGTTGAGGAAGAGACTGACTGCGCTGTGACCTCTTGCTCAACAACTGTAGCGCTGAGGAAATGCAAGTGAGCAAGATGATTGGCATGTCCAGACGCCTTCACTAAATTCACACTGCTGTCACTTTTCCAACCCATCGTTTTCAGTTGATGATGAAGCACCCGAGTTGGAGGTGGGGAAACGTTCCAGTGTAAGCTGGCGGGAGGAGGCGTAGCGTTGATCGTTATGAGCTCTATCACGGCATCAATTGTAGCCCCGCGTCGGATTGGTTTTTTGGGAAAGGTGTGGTATGAGGTGTTGGTAGTAATTGTCCTTATCTCCGTTGGTGGGCATGGTTAACTGAACCCAGAGATTTGGGTTAAGATTCTCAATTGTATTGATTAGTGTCGACTGATTAGCAGCCAGCCGTTTCCTCGTTTCCTGGGCGTGCGATACGCTAGATACTTGGGCTCACACCTCATCATTGCGCAGGGGCCATGCTAATCTTCTCTGTACCGTTCTAATTTTATCGGATCTCAGCAGGTAGTTGTTTACTTCATGTCAACATCTACAGCCGTGATAGACGAGCGTGATGGTGTTGGTTGTAGCGGCTCGGAAGGAGGAGGACCATCTACGACTACCCCTGATAACACAGTTGACTTGGAAACGGGACAGACGCAGACACAGACTGATGGTACTGCTGGGGCGCGATAGAACTTTGGTGACACATTCTGGATGGTGGAGTTTATTGCAGAAATACGTCTAGCATGAGAATATGCACATGTGTTGGTAACAATATGAAAATTCTGAGAAATTTTAGGGAAATTTTCGTTAGTTTTTGTATACTCCTATCCGTGTTAGTCTATCGGGGTGATCAGTGGACCTCTCCTGAGCTTCAGAAGCGCTCCCAAGATTGGATTTCACATGTTAAACTCGATTACGGGAGCACTCTTAAGACTCAGAAGAAATCTATTGAACATGCCGTATAATTCTCCAGAATACGTGAGGAAATTCGTGAGCTCAGCTGAAGGAAGCGAGCACGTATATGTCAACTCTAAATTTGAACAGAAACGTTGTAAATGATATTAGTATGAGCACAGCAACTGAATAGTATACGTAATCGTCACCAATCAGTGTTGTGGGAGTGATTCTCACGTGAGTAGTTTAAAACTCTTTATCCGTCTTTGTAGAGCATCGGAGGCGGTCCAATCGACGCAGTGTACGGCGCAACCTGCAGCATCGGATTAACGACTATACTCGTTGTATCTTCCTGGTGTTCTGTGGCCTCCTCGCGCTCATTGTGATCATCTTAGCTGGTAGTGATGGAGGAGCGGTTGGGTTAGAATTGGGGAGAAACTGAGAGTAGATAGTAACAGTGTAGGAAAATATGCACATGGTCAACCACATGTGTTGATGATAATATGGAAATTCTGGGGAAATTTTGGAAAATTCTCATTGGTTCCTATACATTTCTAGCCAGAACCGTATGTAAACTCCTGAGCTCAGCTGAGGAAAGCGAACATATATTCCAACACTAGTGAAACTATTTTCCGAGTATTGATAGTAATGTTCATTACAGTGAGCCGGGCTGGTCTATTGGAGTTTCTTGACCCTAGTGATACGGAAAACACTAGTGAAAAACATATTTCGCGACTACTGCATAGCGCGAATATCGGGGTTTTCGCTGAATTTTACGCCACTACACATAAAGCGGGTGAAACTTCATTGTAGTATATTCTACACTGTGTGGTGGTGGTTGATTCTGGGATGCGGCTGCTGAAGGTTATCCACGGTACTCGATTGGTTTCTTGAGGGTTTATAGGGGAAGTGATATGTGGACGAAATTGGTGAAATACATGTTCGATTTCCGCCGCTGAGCTCACGGATTTCCTCACTAATTATGGGAGTCTATAGACGAACTCGGGCAGGAGTGTAGAGAATCCAACGAGAATTTCCCCGAAATTCTCTCGGAATTCTCATATTGTTACCAACGGATGTGAATATCATTCAACACTGGGTAGCGATGCGTTATAATAAGTAGTTGATGTGGCCCTTAGATTGTGTGTGTAGGTGAGGGAGCGATATTTACCAAATTTGTGGTATACTCGCGTGTCAAGGATGGTGGTTTTTTTCGTTCTGGTGCATGATACAAATCTTACGCAATGATTACAGCATGCAGCAACTACTCTATGAAGTCTAGGAGTGGTACATAGAGGACTGCACACTAGAGTTTCACCTGTTTTACGTCAAGTGGCGTTAAACTCGGTTCGTCGTGAAATAGGTCTTCCACCTGTGTTTTTCACATCACGGGTGAAACTCCACTATATTCTGTCGATGATGACAACTTTTGAGGAGTAGGAAAATCTTCGCTGTGCGCAATTAGGGATATAGATATCCTTTTTATATTTTCATATCGATTCCCGCGTTGTGCAGGTGTCACCATCTGGGCGATATTCGTCGTTGAAAAGAACGATACAGTATGTGATCGTCCGTTAAGAACGTGAGTGGTGATGTGTGTGACAGCGGAGCGAAGCGTTTTTTGTTTGTAGGTTTTTATTCGTCTATTTCTTTGGTGTTGTTTATGCCATTTTGAAACCTATCATAACACGGGTATTGCTGTGCTATAATCCATCTAACGATCCGGAAAGGCCCCTCAGGGTGAAAATACACGACACGCTCTTCACTGGTAGTAGGGTCGCCGGGAAATGCGTGGTGAATTTCGTGGCGCGCGGTAACTGAGCTGATGTATATAAAGTGTTTTTTTCAGCGTTTTGTTTCGTCTGGCCGATCGTTGGAGCTGTATGGCTGGGGTCCTCTAACACTTGCAGTGACACAGCCCCGACACTGTTCGCTGTGTCGACAGTGGTGAGTATTCGGGAGGTCCCTGGTTCGATCCCTAGTGCGGACATCTCGACTCGTTGAATAAAGGGCGTATCTTTCTCCATAAGCTCTTGCCTCCCGGGGGGTGTCTAAGTAGAGAGTTATTTTTTACTCTCATCTTTGCTGAGAGGGTCGCTCACGGTGTCCGAATGCTCTCTGCTTTCCTCGTCCGAATTCCACACCGCTACTACAATAGATTTATATATATGTTTATTTAATTGCCGTATCCTATTTATTTTTATTATTTATATTACACTTACCTATTATTATAATAATAATACATGATAATACATAGGAAATACATGTTAAATAGTATATTTTATGTATAGTTGTCGTTTTTGTCTGCATCAGATCGTGGTCGTACTAATAGTAGCATGGGTGATGACTCTACTGGGCCCCCCTCTTCTACTTGGTATACTCATGTTGATCATTAGACGGGGGCATATCAGAGTGGCCAAAGTACGGCAACAGAAGGTCGATAAGGTAGTTCGAGGAGGGGAGGAGTGGAACCCTTCTTTGTCGTAGTGATGGTTATGTTAGAAATCATCAGTGTGGGAAAATATGCACATGGTCAAGGACATGTGTTGACGATATTATGAAAATTATGAGGAATTCTTATTGGTTGCTATAATCTGCTATACGTATTTGCATGTGAACTTTCATAATTAGTGAGGAAAGTCCTGAGCTCAGCTGAGGAAAGCGAGACTATATTTCAACACCGAAAATCATATGCTGGGCCCAACCCGCACAATGTTGGGAGAGACTTCGCTCGCTGATGAGGAAGTTGTCCATTTTTGTTAGAGTTATTCATTCAGGTGATATCTGCATTACGTATTGTACCAGCCGGGGAAGCCTCGAAAGTTGCAGGGGAGTGCAGTGTATGTTTAACTGAGTAGTTTGGTGGGTAGATTGTGTGGTCTAGTGGTATCCGGCGTTGTCTAACATCGCACGGCTGCGGGTTCAATCCTCGGATGCCACATTTTTTAGATTCAGTGAAGTTTCATCGACGACAAGCGAGGATGTCATACGTGAGACTCCTTGCCAGCATTATTTCCACCAGGCGTGTCTCGTGAACTGGGCCAAGGTAGTCCACACTAGGGTCGCCCTTCCTCGAGTCATTGTGGTATCGGTAATTATCTGATACTGAGGCATTCAACTCTATTAAGAGCACTCGTTAGTGAATGCTTCTCGTGTAGAGTTTATTGAGCTTTCCAGGTGGGGAAGATGTCATGTCCGTTGTGTCGATCCCCGTTGGATCCAGAAAGACCCCGAGGAGGAGAGGAGATGAGGAGTCGGCGGAGGGTCATGACGATGATGAGGCTGCAGCAGCGACCGACTCTCGAACGATGGGAATATCTTTCTGATTTTCATCTCGTTGTTGTTGCTGCCGTGTTTGGTTTCTTTTGTAGTCGTCGTTCCCATACTGTAACTTTCTGAGCGGAGCGAAGAGTTTCTTGTTGATGGGTTGGTCAAATTTGGTATTCCCTCTCAAGCCTCGATTGGAGATAACATCGTGAATCATCGTGAGTTTACACTAAGACGCATCATTCTTTTCCCTCGCTACTATGTGATTACTTCATTTTCGGAACGCATCGGGTGAGCGAAGTGAAATGCTTCTCGTCATCATCGTTCTTATCATCATTATAACTGCTATTATTCCTACTATTGGAGCCGTTGAGTCTGAGTTGTCAAATTCGTAGGCTTCTCGCGAATCGGTCAAATACAGCGTTTTTTCTACGTTGTGTGGTGACAGGCATCATCTAGTCGATCGATAATTTTGATATTTCTAAGTGAAATATCAAAAATGCTCAATAAAAACGAGAAAAGATTGAAATTTTCAATTGTCCTCTGGTGTATATGTCAATGCCTAGGCCCGGGCGAATGGACTGTGTGCCTCTCTTCTTGTTAGCTGCGAATCGTTTATCTTGAGAGGAATTGTAACTGCCGCTCTCAAGAGGCGGATGATTTGTTGCTCGTTAACGTGTATTGGAGTCCGTAGACTCAGTTGAAGCCACAGAAAAAGGCAGGACAATATATAGGGCATTCTGTTTAAGTGTGAATCCGTAGGGGGTCTCCTATCGTTAGAAACGCTATAAAAATGCAGGCTTCTAACAATGTTGCTAGCTCATTGGTAACGATTTGTTATGGACTGACCGTTTTGCGGTACAGTAGCTGTTGTAAGAACGAAGCAGTTACTCGAATCATGTTGTACTTGGTGATAGTAGATACGGGCTTTTGGTTGACTTAGTGGTCGGCATGCGCTCCAATTCTGCTTCTCCTATGATGATCAGCCACAAGGGCCTTGCACGAGATATAACAGGGGGAGGGGATGTATCCTTACCAACGGTGGGTTGCACTCGAGAACCTCGTCTGGTTGCAGTTGTCGTGTCTGAAGCATTCTGTATTAAAAATGAAAGTGTTATAGGGTAACCGTGAGATGGAAGAATGTTCTGAAATAAATTGTTTATTTGACTAGCAGAAATTCAACTGCGTACAACAGTTAACACTCAAGAAACTGAAAAGTGACAGTGCACACGAAAGTGATGCCAAGCGTCATAACATCACAACTAGCTTGCATGCTATGAAAGCGGCGTCCAATCCCTCTGTTGAGATTAGACAACTCAACAAGAGTCGTTCACAGGTGGTTTTTAACTTATGATGAATACAGTGATCATGTTGAGGATCTTTGCTCCTACCTTATCTCCCATTGAGGGACCGTCACACTGGAAAACTTGTACGAAAAACTTAGTTTTCGTATTACTGTTTAGCCACCACTGTCCGTACCAGCAGACACTGTATCGGTCTGTCAAACTTAGTGGAACCGAGCGGAATCCTTTGACAGGGACAAAACCCAATTATCTATATAATCAATAGTAGGCGTTCCTGATACTAGGCTAAGATATGCGCTAGAGCAAGGAGCCAGACAACGAGAAGACAACTCACACAGAAACAACACAATACTTAATCGTTCGTAGTTATCGTCCGTCTACATCATTAGGCAAACGCTATGCTGGAAAGGACGCGACGATCACAGGAACCTGAGAACTAAGACAGCCACTTGTGTGTAACATTTCCTCACACCCTCATATCGCTCAGCGCTTGTATATGAGAGCAGGAAGTATATGACGGTCTTTTTTTCGCAGGCGCAGCGACAACTCGAAATTGCAATTGATCTAGATTTACTGAAATCTAGAGTGCAAGGTGGCTATACCATAAGGGTCTCAGACTCACAGTGTGGGGAAAGTGTGCACATGGTCAACTACGTGTGTGGGCGACAATATGGAAATTCTGAGGAAACTTTGAGGAACTCTCGTTGGTTTCTGTACGCTTCTAGTCGAACTCGTATATGAACACCTATAATCAGTGAAGAAACTCCTGAGGTCGGTTCAAGAAAACGAACATGTACTCTAACACTGCTGACTCCTGTGGGAGTGTTCTCTCTCTTGATAGGACTAGAGAGAGAAACTTCTAGCGCTAGAAAGGACGATCATACTCTCTGCAGGAGGGTTTTATTAACCATCACAGTTTATTCACTGAATAATCCGATCGTTACAAAGGCCGAGATTAGTGTCAAACTCCAATTTTAGGTCGTTTCGAGCCCAAGGTTATCGCTAGACGCTGAGAGTTCAGCAGGGCTCGACGCTCTCTGTGTACGTACAGTCTTGGAGCGGTATGCAGCGAATGCTGTGGAAGCCCAGGAGGTGTCACCAGAAATGAGATATCGCTCAGCAGCTGACTTGGAAGAGATCTTTCAAAGGCTTGCTGAAGATGGTTCATCGAGTGTGAGTCCAAGCCCATGGGCAGTACCAGCACCGGGTACGAGTGACAGATCGAACAGCGACGGTGGCACTCCACAGAAGCTGTACGATTCTCCATCTAGCGAGTATCGGACGAGGACAATTGGGGACGTCGAGACGATTTATGACCAACTGCATACAGCGAAAAGACTCTCACGCCTACGACAGAGACTGTCTCGAGATGTGCTGGTTACCAGTAACGACTTGGGTATTGGAGGCGTTCGATTGCTTGAGAAGGTGTGTGCGAGGAGGATCCAACGAGCTTGGCGAACGTACGCGAAAAGACAGGAGACAGTGAGCCACGTGCGCTGTACGAGTAGCTGATGCTTACATCTCCAGACAAAAATGTACGAGAAAACGGCGGAGCGATGCAGACACTTATTCGAGGCAACACTGTTGCAGACCGCGATGCAGAACAGCAGGTTGATTGAGAAGGAACTCCAAACATTGAAGGTGTGCCGTCTCAGGGTCTGTTAGACTCTCGCATAATCGGCAGTACGGTGAGGAGTTTTTCCATTCCTAGTAGCAGATCTACATGTGCTGTGACCATCATTCCTCTGCGTTCTTCGCCCGTCCTTGCCCACAGTAAATGTTCTCTCTCGAAGGGAAAATAGTAGAACTGATTATGAGCCCGGCAAATTCTCAGGGCTTGTGTCTGCGTCTACTGCGCTACATTCAGCCTGTCCATCCCAGGAACGGCGAAAATCGACAACTCATGTGACGAGGATCGAAACCCATGATCAGCACACTCCGAGCCTGTCCCTGGGCAACTACACTATGGGAAGATATCTTCTGTTCAAGCCGTTAGTATCGCCGCAGGCATTGACCAATCTCATCTCTGCTATCGTCGTGGCCACAGGCGGTGATGGTGCCGTTGTGAAGCATTGGGAGTACGAAGAAAACGCATCGAGGCTCGTGGTTGTCGCGAAAACGCCGGGGTCTCGAGTAAGACTCAATGGTTTGTTGATCCTTGTTATGAGTGCCGTGACTTGATCGCCGTCGGCGACTCGCCGACCTAGTTGGCAGTCACGTTTGCTTTCCCCAGAAGTGTTCAGGGGTTTTCTCACTCATTATAGGAGTTTACATGCGAATTCGGGTAGAAATGTACAGAAACCATTAAGAGTTTCCCCGAATTTCCTCAAAAGTTCTACATCGTTACCAACACACGTAGCTGACCATGTGCATAGTTCCAACACTGGGTCCAGAATTTCCGACTTCTTTATCTGGTCCCGAATCGGTGATCATCATATTTGTCGACCACTGCGACCATTGTAGCTTCGCGCTTACCCAGGCCGCTCCTCAACGCCAGCATGAAGCTCTCCTGTCCGAAGAAGCGGTGGTTGTTGATTATGTCCGAGCATTCGACGAGGCCTTCGCTGAGGTGGTACCAAACTCTTTATGGGAAGTCACACTACAAACAAGGAAAAGAATACCTCCACGGTGCGTGATGACGGCCGAACGGACCGACCTGGCAATTGAGGCGTCTCAGATGGCATTACCTCAACCAGTCAAGGAATGAGGAGCGAAGTCATCGATCTGGTAACGCATGAGATTGAGAATCACGTCAAGGTACTCTCTTAGGCAGTAGGCCTTCGCCAAATCTGCCCAGATCACTTCGGGGTGGTTTCCGCACTGACTCACTCCTTAGTAGTGTGCAGACGAGAGCGAGTGGTGAGGAATCGACATGGGGTGAGTGGACGTTTCCTCCATGGTTGCAGTGGCAAAAATCTACTTGGGCTGATCTGTTGTGTTGGTTCACTGTGGTAGATGGTGTGCGGGGCTCTGCAATGAATGGATCGTGCCCCGGGATCGTGGGCTCTTCATACCGACATATATACGATAGAAAGACTGCCAGAAGTAGTATGGCGTTGTGTCAGCGCGTCACTGAGCTCCTTCCCACTGGGAAGATGGGAAGGAGTCTTTCATCACCCGTCGGGAAGTTCCCAGCTTATACGGTATAAGTTATACCAACTTCACATGCCAATCACAATCCTCCTTCCTTTCGACTGATGTCCCGAACACCATGTCCGGATGCGTGATATTTGTGGTTGATCAGTCTGTGACGAGATCCGGTGTTTTCATTTTAGCTGCTCTGGTATCCTGTGATTATGATGTGTTGATGTTGTGATGCTGACACTTGCAATCTCGTTATATCCTATTGTGTAGATACTTTAGCTCTAGCGTTACGCTATGTACGCTAGTTTGAAACGGCTGTTAGTTGTTATAAGTAAACAGATTAAGATAGTGGTTGAACAGTTACTCCAGTACCTCTTCTACTAGTATTACTGCTTGCGTTCTGAGTTCATATCTGTACAAGTCGGACTATGCGCATCAAACCCTCACAACTCCTGTCCTGTTAACACAGCGATGATATGACTAGACACCATATCAGCTTCATACAGAGATTCTGCAATCAATAGGGCACGTGCAAACCTTTGTATCTCACTGCGCACGCTGCGCTGCGCACGGTCGTACTCAGTATAGTGTGCTGCTGTTGATGTCCCATGCCTCCTGTCGTTCCCTAGCGTCAACACGACCCGACATCAGCAGGAGAGATACGACCCTTATGTTGATGTCCTCAATGCTCAAAATCAATAGTACGGCGTGTATCCTATGCTCCCATTTTTGTACGCAAGCACAAGGAGAATGTCTGTACGCATGTACAAAAAGATGACGCTCTCCGCCGCACAGACTGGTCGAGCATCAATAGTATCGTCGAGCAGTTGGAGAAACACACGAACAGGCAACAGCTCACCACGTCTCACCATCTCTTCTACTTTCCGATGCAGAGGTAGGATCACGCTGTTGACAATGAGATATAATATGCAGCAGACACTTCATCGATTCATCTCTTCCTTTGCGTGATTTCGCGTGACAGGCAGACTCAGTGTGTTGAATGCTGCCCTCTGCGTTCCAGCGAGTCGTGGCGACACCTTCGAGACTGATCCTCATAATCAGTCAAGTGTGTGGGAGGCCGGGTGTCCTTGCTCCGAACAGGTCGTAGTTTTAGTTCAAACTCACCACGTCATAATGCCGCCTCATCTCCTAGCGATCTATGTTTTGTCCCTGGCTCTGACCCAGGCACAGATCTTTGGAAGGCGTCCTTCAGGCCAGTACTGCATGGACTTCGTATTACCAAGTCCGTCCAGCGGAGTGTCATTCCAGCCCTATGGAAGGCAGGCCTCCTCTGGTAAGCTGTCCATCGCAGTTCTCGATGTTTACAACTTCCGGAGACAAGGCGGTGTATACATCAATGGACGTTACCGACTGCACACGAGGAACGAACTGGAGATCACTGCGCTGAACGATGCGCTGAAGTTGAATGACCCCCACACCTTCCCGTACCTTCTGCTTGGCTACACCCTCAAATACAACAAAGCTGATGATGGTGTGGAGCTTTACAATATGCAAGGGAAAATGCAAGCACACTTCTCTAGAATTACTTGCCCAGGATTACTCTCAGCTGGTTCTCGACCAGCAGTGGATTCGCAAGTCTACTGTAGCAAACAAGCGAGGCTGAGCGTGGATGGTGGTGGACTGGTCCGTTTTGACTTGCCTCCAGGTGGTCGTAAACAAGAACCGATGGTATCTTTCGTTGGTCCTTATCGCGAGGTTGGTAGGAAGATTCTCCTCCCCATCCCATTCGGCAGATTCGCCTTCACGGTAGAGAGAGTCAATAATGCTACGCTGAAGCTCATCCCGGACTCTATACCGGAGAAGGCTTTCTTGATGAGGACTCCGACTACCCTGGAGGAGAAGGAAGCATGCGGGGACAATTTCTGATGTGGATCGCCTCTCTACGAATTGGGGCTTAAAGCCAGCGGCTTTACTGTGGCGAAAGCTCAATGATACGCATTTTGCTTTTATTAATCATTTCAGGGTTGATATTGTGTCTTCGCTTGGTAGTCTCCTCAGGGGTTCAATTCACAAACTTGTCCTTGTCACTCATTTCTGTTCCAGTTAAGCTGTCAGGTCAACTTAATGACGAGTCATCTTCTCACTTTGTATCAAGTCCTTTCCATCGTACTATATCCTACAAGCGCTTCTGGCTACGACGGGTGTAGGCAGCCTGATTGGTATTACTGCGCAGAGCATGATCCGAGCTTCCTCAACAGGCTGTTCTTTACATCCAACGTCGACGGTACTGGAGGCTACCTGAGGTCTTTCCTTTACGATGCGGCCCAACACCAGGCGACTTTCTACACACCTTACCAGATAGATGAAGCAGGTTACATTACTTTCGGCGATGGTACACCAGGACATTCTATAAACGACACTGCGAGGTTCCCTTACATGAGCGCCGAATATACTCTCAAGTACGACGCTGGTAGAAACTCAGTTACAGCAACTGGTCGGTCTGGTCTTATTCTTCGCTTCACTCCCCAAGCCTGCTCATCGGGGAGCCCCCCTCCAGGTGAGCTCAGTAGGCCGTTGTCCGCGGTAGAAGGAGGTCCTCCACCACTGTATCCTTTTCCGTACTATTGTGGCGACAGAATGTGCTTTACAATTGGAATATCTTTCAATAAATGGATTATATGGGGCTGGATTTCTACCGAACCGTTGGTGAATACACCTTGTTGGCATGCAGTAACTGTTTGGTCTCCATTTGATGTGACCAAAGAAGCCGGGAATGTCACGGCACCATTTTCATCTTTCCACTTTACCATAGTGCGAGTGGACGGCTCCGTGCTCAAATTGCAGCCTCATAATAGCGATGAGCATCCTACACTGCTGCAGGGGTACAACAACTTGCCATACCATTGCCCACTAGGGAGTGGATAGTTTCGTGGCTTTAGATAGAAAATCAATTTTGGACAACATTCATCGTTATCAATGCTCACTTCTTTTCTTTATTGTCGCGCGTGGTGTTGAGCACTAGGTGGTCTCCTCACTGGGCAAAACAAGATTGGTGAGCTTCCCAATCGGGAATTCCAAATATAGCACAACAAAACCACTCCGAGAATGTTCATTGTACGTTCCGAGAGAGATTAGATTTAAAAAGTCAAACTTTCTTCGCCTGGTGGAACTCTAGCAGCCCGAGGCTGCCAGCCCCACTGAATCGGACCCACTGTGATAACCCTGCTGGGGTCACCCCAACGAGCAGTTCAAGTTGAGCTGCGTCCTGGGACTGAGTCCCACGGCGTAGGACCCACGCAAGTAAACACGCACCATGGTACACATCATCGAGACCCAGACCCAGGCTCTTGCCGCATCATCAGCTGTTCCGCAACCCTCTCACTTGAAAGCCCGAGTAGGATCGGGTACCATAAAAACCCAGCTCGCAGCAAACAGACAGCGAGAAACCAATCTCTCAATTTGTCAGTAGCGCGAAGTAGAATTAGTGGCAGGAGAGACGAAAAGTGGAGCGCATGGAGTCAATCCTATAACTGACGTGTCAATTGAGGTATCCGTTTCACGCGATGGCACACTCTCCCGCCATGTCCCGGGCAGGCAAATATCGCATACTACGACGTATACTGGATACAAAGTATTTTTGTCCAAGTCGCCATCGTTTGTGAGCTCAGACATCGACAGCTTTCTAATTCCGAACAAGCTATCCAGTATGCTGGATTTGGGAGGCAACCCATTGAGTCAACTTTGTAGAAAGCATGCCCGGGTTGTTGTCCAAGAGCGTCGGGTAGTTGGTTCGGTGGAAGATGTTGGCTTAGCGGCTAATATCGAACTCCAAACCTGGGTGAAGGGATTGGCAGCGATTGGCGTCTATTACATATGGTCTCGTCTTGCGTTATTTCACAATATACAGAGTACAGAAGCAGAGCGCTGTTCAAATATGTAGCTGAATTTCAGCTGCCGAAAACGGGTTTCAGGTAACAAATTCCATGCCTCTCGCGATTCCTCGGGAACTCGCGTATTACACATGGTGTCAACCTGTAGTGAACATAATGCGTGTGCATCACCAACGGTATCACTTCGAATAAGTAGCGTGCTCCATTACCAAAAGATTCAGGGCCCCGAAACTTCAGCCTGGAAGTTGAACTTCCGCCCGGACTATACACCTTCTCAGAAATAACTTCGGGGAGGATGTTTCTGCGCAGCGTAAGGAATTCGCTTACGCATTATCACTCAATTCTAGCAGTACGAAGAATCTTCTATGTACATGGAACTCTAATCCGAAATCGATGTCCTTGTTTGTGAAATTGCATTCCTTAATCATGAAATTGATGTCTTTATTCGCGAGATTGATTTCCCTATTCGATTCTCATCGCTAAATTGATGTCCCTATCCGCGAAGGTGACTTCCATATTCGCTGAAACGGTAGCCTAATCCGCCAAAAAGATTTATGAAAGGTATAGAGTTTATGAACCATATTTCCACATGCTGTCCGAACCTTTACCTACCAATATACTGCCTAGTTTGAATGTCCAACCACTTCGCAATCCGTTCGGTGTCCTCTTGGCGAAATCTGGTCTGATGTAACCTGTATCGGCAGAGTGGAGTAAGCGAAACCTGTCACAGCCGATTCTTGCATCATTATAATCGCGCACGCCATTGGCATCGATTACATGGCGATTACTCTAAACGTTTCGCCCAAGACTCGTGTACGCATAACTATTTCCACCCCTAGGATGGACATGGACGAAGTTAGAACCGTTTATCGAGGGGAGGAGTTGAAGGCATACGTTACTGTTACAGTAGTTGTTGCTTCCATTATGAGCGAATCTGCCGGCTTGAGTGGTTCGGCATCTTCAGAATCTGTTACCAGTCCGGAGGTACTCCCTCCCCCTTCAAATGAAGGCCCCTCAGTGTCTTTCCTGCTTCCAAACGAGGATGCAACTATCAAGCTCGGCCAGCAGATAGCGAGTGTCTTGCGGCCGGGCCTAACGGTCCTACTGAAGGGGAATTTGGGCGCCGGCAAGACATGCTTGGCTCGAGCCTTGATGCGGCACATAACGCAAAAGACAACGCTGGAGGTACCAAGCCCGAGCTATCTGATCAGCTTCACATACATTGTTGAGGACGAATATGGGTTATTGGAGAAGGGCTCAAAGGTAGTAGTAGGAGCAGTAGCAGGTGATAGAAGGCGCATATGAAATGTTATCGATTCCCATAACTCATCAACATTAGAGTTACTCCGGTCATGCTGCCCCAATCGGATGGTACTGAGGCATATCTTGGGGCTGTGGCATAGCCGCCCCGGAAAACGTGAATGGCGCTACTTGGAGCGCTCCTTATATGCCTTTAATCCATGAGCATTGTAATGGTAGTTTTGTAGGTGCACCATTTGGACCCCTACCGACTGGCCTCGGGGAAGGTGGCTGCCTTGTTCGACTTTGATACGGCCTTTCGTGAGGACATTACTATTATTGAGTGGCCAGAGAGGCTTGGTACTAGGGGGAGGGATCAGGGTTGGATACTAGGATAGTGATTTAGGCTCTAATGTCACTCCGCCGAGCAGCTCGTCACTGGTGGTATACTTCAGCGGAGTGGGCCCGCAGGCAGTGGGGCGACACGTCACGCTCAGCTGCAGTGGTCAGGCTGAGTATTGGTCCTCGGTGCTCAAGGCGTGGCCGCCGAAGATCCGTGTGGGGAAGCCTCGTCCAGCTAATGCAGAGGAAGGAACCGATAAGGTACTGAGTCGGGAGGAGATCAGGTGACGATGTAAAGTGAACGGCCTTGTGCAGAAATCTTGTGAATCTGCTTCGGTTCGCCGTGCGAGGTGCCTGGGTTACGCTCGAGGGGAAGACATCAGTACGATGTGAGGGACCCTATGTTCCTCGGGTATAGCAATGAGTGTCGATTGTGAATGACAAAATTCTGATGATTTAACGTAGCCTGGAGGTCTCGCCTCAGCCTCAATGCAAGGAATAATGTGCAGGCATAAGGCGTGTATCGTGGACGTGATGCTGTTGAAAATTCGGCACTACAGTTTTCTATTACTAAATACATGACATATGATGAAAAAATGAAAGGAAATTAGTCGATTTTCTGATGACACAGCTGATTGAAGTACTCACGAGGACGGTTTCTCGTGGCGACTGAATTATGCGAGTTGACATGGGGAGCATCCGGTGTTGATATGTGGTCTAGACGGTTGTGGAGCCGCTTTGTTTCAGCCTGTTGGTGATGGAGAGACTAAAGAAAGTCAGTTCCTGCCGCCGTTACCGAGCGATCAATCCAAGTGGTTAGTGTTGGGCATTGAGTCCTCGTGCGATGATACAGCCGCCGCAGTAGTGGATATTGATGGCAACATACGGGGAGAAGCGATAGCTAGTCAAGCGGGTGAGCATGCTGTTAGAGATTCGGAGGTTCCTTGTTCGAATCTCCCTCCTGTCATATTTCAGAAATTCATAGTCAGTACGGAGGAGTCGTCCCCAAGCTGGCGCAGGAAGCTCATGCCTCTGCCATTAACAAGACAACCGAACTAGCCCTTTCACGGGCCGGTATTGACTTCAAAGATCTCACAGCTGTTGGGGTCACTGTCGGGCCGGGCTTAGCTCTCTGTCTGCAGGTAATGTCGACTGTACAGAGATGGGTTGCCCTCGTTTGGCTTCTGAGGAGATTTTCGCGCATGCCATCTCGTGGTTCATGTTCATGACTAGCTAGCGCAGTGGCAAGACGCTTCCGCAGACTAGTTCGTCGCAACAGTAGATTTCGTGTGCGTTCAGGTTGGAGTGAAGAGTGCCATCGAGCTCGCAGCCAAATACGACCTGCCGTTGGTACGGACTCATCATATGGAGTCTCATATGCTAGTGACGAGGAAGCCTGATCCGACGCCGACAGCCTCTTCCACGTCCCCTTCCCCACATCGGCCGGAGTTCCCATTCGTCACCTTACTGGTCTCAGGTGGTCACAACATGGCGGTGCTGACCAGAGGAATGGGGGATCATATCATTCTGGGCTCAACCTTGGACGACTCTGTAGGAGAGTGTTTCGATAAGGTTGCTCGGCTGTTGGACATCCACGACGTCCCTGGTGGCCCCGTTCTCGAGAAGCTAGCGAGCGAGGGTAATCCCAGGGCGTGCCTGCGAGAGCTGGCCAAGCCTCTAGCCAAGACCCGTGATCTTGAGCTGAAGAATGGTTGTGATTTCTCTTTTGCTGGGCTGAAGACATCGATGCGACACCTCATCGAGGGAGGCAAGTACAGCAAGCCTGACATGGCGGCCTCTTTCCAGAAGCGCTGTGTAGACCATCTTGTTGAACGGGCGGGTCGAGCCATTGATTGGGCCTTGGAAATCGACGATAGCATCAAGACCTGGTGGTCGCTGGTGGAGTTGCTGCAAACAAGAGCGTTCGGTCTAACATGCAGGAGCTGGCCAAGGAGAAGGGTCTCACTTACACTGTCCTCCTACTAGCTCTGTACTGATAACGGCACTATGGTGG